CTGAGCCAAAAAGTTAAGCACGTTATTTCGGGACCTTCTAGTCTTAGAGTTACCTCTATGGTTATACCACAGACAAACAGACATAACTCTCGCACGTTGTTCATCGAACAAGCATTTAACGGACAATTCTCGCGTCACTTTTCAAATAGACCAATGTAACATATCCACCATTTTGAGAAAATCGAAGTTGAAGTTCGACAGATTATTATTTTAACTGTTTAAAAACAATCCCCCTAATTCTGCGAGTCACGTGACTCTCTCTCACCGGTGAGGTGACAATTGTCACCTCGTGTGAGGTGACTCTCCATGCAAATCAAATGGAGAGTCACCTCACACGAGGTGACTATTGTCACCTCACCGGTGACAGAGAGTCACGTGACTCGCAGAATAGGGGGGAATACATTTTGCAATACTATTTTTAATGTACTCAGTGTATAATAACGTTGAAAATTCAGAAGAAATGGTAAAATCACACTTTTACTTTGAATTTCATGCTACAACATAGACAAGACCACATAGGACGTTTTGACAAGTCGAGTTGTACATCGGACATGTTACATTGGACGTTTTTTCTCAATGACATAATCAATGAGTGTTACATTGGACGTTTTGTCTACATGATACTAGATTCCCTTTCACAGATTTCAGAGTATAGTACCTAACTTTAGATTGGCCCGCCTTTGGAAAATGAGCACCAATCATGTTAGGCAGTCCGAATGACCGAAGTAACAATCATGTATCCATCATTTCAAACTGTACATTGGACAATTTTTGATCAATGATTATATTAAATAAATGAAAGTAAATTTGGATGGATGTTTTTGTATCACATACAATGATAGAAGAGCAACAGTTTGTATCGCTTAACTCGGTTTGTTTACATTTGTTACATTGGTCGATTTGAAAAGTGACGCGAGAATTTAAAAGTATCGTAGTTGGTAGTACCACCAACAATCAATACGAAACTAACGATTTTAAATTGGCTCACCACTTTAGTAGCCTATTGGTCCCAAGCAAACGATTAACGTACCCTATTCTAGTTGAAATTCTATTACTACACTATGTTTGTTTTGATTCGCTATGAAAGTTTGACAGATAACATCAGGGGTGTGTGGATTCATGCAGAACATGCAGGGGTGAGTGAAATAGCTTGGGACTGCTTGGGACCGTTGTTCTGGTACTGAGTGAGCCAATAATAATAATGATTTTCTTCGGGACCCAGTGGTCTTAGAGTTACCTCTATGGTACCACCACCTGTAGCGCGCATAGTCAATTCCCTTGCGTTTGACGTTTACACACTACCGCCATCTGTTCAGTGTAGTGCCCCCACAGTGTACTCAACAGATGGCGGTAATGTTTTAGCGTCAATGTTTTACAGTGAGAAATATTCAATGTGTTATGTCTGTTCGTCTGTGGTAATACCGTGTCTTTACTGACTAGGCTATGAGGCCCCTTATTGGAAGCGCTTGCCGGAAATTGACGGGATGGTTGAAAATGGCCAACTAATTAGCACATTTACAATTCGAAATTTCCGAAGTCTATGGGGCTTATTACGGATGTCACTTCACGGTGAAAACTTGTCACTTGTCGTCACGGTGAAGTGATTCCCATTTGATTTGTACGGCAATCACGGCTCTTATTCTGAGTATCACTTCCTTCTCACCGTGTAGTGACACCCGTAATAAGGCCCTATTATTTCGGAAATTTTTGACCATATCGTAAATAACTTTCTTAAGCACCCCGTCGTTTATTGGCAATATGATTGAAAATTTTAAAACTATTACACTTCGGAAATTTCGAGTACTAAATGTACTAATTAGTTGACCATTTTCAACCAGCCCGTCAATTTCCGGAACGTCTGTTCGCAACTTTTCTTGAGCTAATTTTAATGAATTTTCCAATACTAATTTGTTACCAGTTAGTTAGTTAGTTATCTTTATTAAAGAGACTTTCAGCCGAACACTGGTTCGTCTCCGAAATTTGTTACCACATCAAGCTGTGATCTGATGTGATTTATTAAGGCAAATTCTTTACTCTAAACATTGGTTACTTTTTAGTGACTGTACGCGATGAACGCTTCCAATAGGAAAATGAACGACGTCATCGAATGGCGCATCCTGATTGGCTGACGCAGCCGAAGAAAGAGTGTAAAAGCAAACAACATTGCAATTCATTTTTCATTCTGTATCCTGTATTTAATCATTGAAGAGGAAGCAGCGAATGAAAAAGGCAGAGTTGAGAACAGTGTCTCATTCTTTTCGTCCGACAACGGAGATTTCCCGAGCTTTCGTGTTTCGTCCAATTCCTGTTCGTTCATCCACTGGTTGCTGTGGTGATCGATTCATCTTCCATAAGTTCCACCCCAGTGGACACTTTTAAAAGAGTTGAACTTTCCTGTTTCCCTGCTCATCGGAGCCTTGTGTTCGGCAGTTTTGCCGTGGTCCTTCGAAAGAGAGAGGTGTACTTCGCTGGTGGGTGTAGTGGTTACACCTCACTGAACCAAAACATCCGCAATACTTCGAATGATTATTGCATTGCTCGAGCCCTTTAACAATATGCATTCGAATTTCGGATGATTTTCTTATGGTTGAATTCGTCTTCAGATGATGAACATCCATATGACTGTCATCCAAATACAGGATGATTGTCGTTTGAAAATTAGCTATAAAACATACGGCACTCAGAGGACAACCATTTAAGAATAGTGTGACATGCAAGTGCTTTTAATTAGATTTATAATTTGATTATCTACATTTCTATACTGAATAGCCATAATAAGCCATTCCATTATGGATACAAAATTTTTTCGTGGTGAAGGAAACCTCCACCACGAATTAGCCAAACATTGGTTTTCATCCTTTACCTATGTTGGAGGCGAACCAGCCCAAGGCTGAAAGCCTCCTTAATAAATCTAAATAATAATAATAATCCTTTACCTATGTTCGAAACAGCTTTGATAGCGATGCATATGCTTTCACCTCTTTTGTCAGCTCAGATCAGCAAATGACATTCGATAGAATTATTTACATCATCGTTTTGAATGATTTGTGTTATGGGGCTAAACCAATACCATATGCATTTCCATTTAGTATGACAGTCATTCTGCAGAGAGCATTACGCATTTCAACTGAAGGCCCTATCCCTTCTCATAACAATTTTCATCCTGTATTCTAGAGGAAAATCATCTGATTTCAAAACAACCGTCATCAGTTGCATATATCATTCGAAAAAGCGATTTCGGTGATTTGTTTTGAATGGTCTGAGGTTTCATTCGATCAGAGGATGATGTTTGTGTACAGTGCTGTTGGCAGCTCAACGACTGGTGGCTGAAGCGTGAAGCGCTATCGGCGACCCATTGTTCCTCGCTGTCCGCCGTGGTGTTCGCAGCCAACGGTGCATCGTTCCTTCGCTGGCTGGTCGCTGTGGTGTGCACAGCTGGCAGTGGCTCATCGTCCCACTACTGGTGGCTGTTAAGTGCACAGCTGTCGGTGGCTTGATCACGAGTTTTGTCGTGGTCCTTCGTTCGAGAGAGGCATCCTTTCGCTGGTGACTCTTCGATCCTTTCGCTGGTGGCTGTGAAGTGCATAGCTGTCGGTGGCTCGATCACAAGGTAGGTCTTCGTCTGTGCTGTTGAGGTAAGTGCAACGAATCTACCCCATGGGACATTGAGTATACAACAGTGACTGACTTGAAAATAGTGACCTGCACAAGGATACTCTATGCCCAGAAAAGTCGAGCATTTTCAACCCGAAAACATTGCCTTTACTGACTAGACTATCGAGGCCTCACAATAATCTACTTTGTATTATTATTCCTCCCTTAGCTCAGTCGGTAAAGACGCAGCTACAAAGCAAGACCACCAGACTTCCCTGGTATGATTGTACTTGCCACATAATTATACTAATGCAAAAATGGCACAGGCATCTAAAGCTCTCAATTAATAACTGTGAAAGTGCACCTAGAACACTAAGTTGAGAGCACGCAATAAGTTAATATACAATAAGCAATAAGCTTGATTGAAATGTGAATAAGAAGAAAACTATTATTCCTCATGATATCGCTCAGAAACTCACTGAACAACAATTATTTAATAGTTGCTATGACACTTGAATAAAAAGTGAAAAATACAATTCAATACAGAGCTGGAAAAGGTCCTGAGGCATCACGCCTTCCTTCGGAAGGGAAGTAAAGCCGTTGGTCCCCGGTTCATGAGTTGATAGGTTGATAGGTAGGGTCCAGGTGCGAGAGCTGCCTCCCTGGCGTCGGTAGCATTGGTGCTCAGCACGGAAAACAAGATCGACGAAAAACAAATCAATGAAAAAAAAGACGCACCCACGCAAACCAACATTTTGATTTACGTGGGCGAGTATTGACTGTCTAGAAATCGTCTAGAGAAGACATTGTTTACAAAAGCTGTTAGGCCCTGTTTCCAGCTCGATAATGAATTAAAACAATGCTCGACTACTTTTTCGAAGGGACGTATCAACTTTTGTAAACAATGCATTTGATCGTCGATTTGACGTAACTGGTAGCTCGCCCACGCATGCTAACACTACCATCAGATAAGGGAAATTTACCCCTACATGATAGTAGTTTCTTCGATAAGCTTTCCGCAAAATCCGTGCCACAGAGCTATAAAATTGCACGAATTCCGCGCTAGCTGTAACAACCCTATTAAATGACCACCATCAGTAGGGAGTCAAGACTTGTTTTCTATCTTGGGCCTGTCCTCTGCAGATTCAGGTAGATTTTTCTTAGGATACTTGTTTTGTAATGGGATCAAAATCGAAGGATTTCCGGATAACCGGAGATTCTTCCGACGGCTGCATCGACGTCTTCAGTGGTCTCGATCTGTCGATGGTAGTTCTGTTTCTGATTGAAAGGTCAACATTTTCCTAACTCCACTAGATTTTCAGCAGTTCTGGTGCACGGCATTTGATTCTGTGAGATTTTCACTACTCCAGCACAAAGAGTTGCCCAAGCCTTCAATTTCCAATTACTTCCATTCTTCTTTATTTCTAATCTGTTTACTTTCTGATTCTGACGAATAGAGTTTATATTTAGCTTATCATTGTTTGTAAGTGTGTGTGTGTATCTTCTGTATTTATCCTTATCGGTAGTATTTTACAATGAAAAAATATTCTTCTCTCTTTCCTTTACCGCTGTGACCATGTGGAGCTAACTGCTTACTATGTGATATTCAAGCATCAGTTACCAATTTCTGCACATTCCCTGACTGTTCATCCTAAACTGGCAAAATGAAATCCGGATCAGAAGGAGGGAGAAGGCGAAGGAACCATCGAATTATGTTCAACGCTTTGCTTTAACTTACAATATGATGGAATCAGCCGATCTCCCATGATAGTTCTAACAGTAAAATGTGTGCTATCTCATGTTGCGCTTCTAAATTAGTAGACGCATACTAACGGGATTATTTCCAATGTGTTTGTGTATTTTCTCTTCTGTTTTGTGGGTTAGTAGCTCTCTATTAAAACTATGTGTATGTACTTCTACTGATTCTTAGCAAAGTCACTGTCGAATCCAAGCATAATTAAAGTAATATTTACATAGACATTCCCCTCGTTCACACACTACTCGCCGTCCTGCGCTATCCAGGAAAGAGAAATTATGGAAAAGACTACTATCACTTAATCTTAAAATCGCGATTATATTAGAAAACGAAAATTCTCGCTTCATGGTGCGGACTAAAATTAAAATTGACTTTGAATCGAGTAACAAACAAAAAAAAAATATAAACTTGAGTCGCAATTAGGGGGTTCTGTTCGATTGCGTAGCAGAGTGGGGGAGGATGGTGCTTTGCACACGAATTTGGATCATTATTGAAAACCTTTGAACTGTCTCCTACGACCAAGATCGAACTGTTATCTTTCGGCAAATTATTGACGAGATTTGTTGACCTTTCCTTTCCAAAACCCGAAAACCGTACTCCCCAACAGCAATGGCAAAATGTCACTTGTAGAAGTGCATGATTCCGCTCCAGCGGCGGTAGTAGTCATTGTAGTAGTAATCGTAATCCGGTGGCGGAGGTGGATGGGTCGTGTTGTTGGCCATGAAACTGGCTGGCTGCTGCTGACCCGATGCCGTCACCACCGCATTGGCCACACTAGTGGAAGAGGAAGAAGAATTACCTGTCGTTGTTGATGTTGATGTGGCCACCGTTTGGGAACCACTATTGCTACCTTGCTGTGATTGGTTTTGATGATGCTGCTGCAACTGCTGGAGCGACGACTGCAAGCTGCGGAAGGGAAGTGAGCTGAGCGCATTGGCGACGTGATTCATCGAGCAAAAGTTGGCAACCGTGGTGTTGATTAGGTTGTGGTTGCTGTTGATGCTGCTGCTGTTGCTGCAGCTAGCATTGTTCTCGTCATCGTGGGACTCGTTTCATTAGCTGGTGAGCAGGGCGATGTTGATTTCCTTAACCATTTTTACCCGGTGCAGCATTTTGCAGAGGGCATCCTTGCTGAGCGCTTGCGTCGAGTACCAGACGGGCGAATCCGGCACGCAGGACCGTTCCGGTTGCAGGTAGAACACGTCGTTGCGGGTTTTCACGCTTTCCGGGCTGAAAGTAGAAGGGGACGAGTTGCAGTTGTTGACAAACTGTTTAAGGTCTGTGTAGAGTTTCAATTGTTATGCAATAGAGGTTATTCAATAATTCAGCAAGGTAGGGTTGTACCTAGTCTCTTTTATTACCGTGTTACACTAAGCTGGAGAACAAATACTTCGTTCGATTGACGAAGAATTTTCTCTATAACAATGGGAGTAATAAGGCAGTCAATTCGTCGTCGATGAGGTCGCCACCGGGATCGAAATCCAGTAATAGCAACTGGAACGGGAGCTTGATCGTAGTTGTTTTGTAATATTAGAAGCTCGGTGGCCTTGTGGCGACCGATTTTGCTTACTGAGCAGAAAATCATGGGTTTAATCCCAAGCTCCTTCACATTATACAATTATACTTTAAATAGGATTTCTTTCAATGATATATGCGGCATAACAGTCCCATTAGCATTTTTGGCGATTATGAGTTATACATTGGAATCGATTGTCAAGTACCATCACTTTACAATGTACACGATAAAAATCCTACTTTGTTCAGAAAATGTCGCGAAAAATAACAAAACTATTTTGTCCCATCCATAAGAGCCCATGAAGAAAAAAAATCTTCAACCGCGTTTTTCTCAGCTTGCTGTTTTAACGAATGGGACAACTATGCTGAAAAGGGCAGTATAGATGATAGAAACGGGTACGAAGTAATGTTTGAGTTTCAGGAAAGACGTGTTGATCGGAAATCCATAATAAATCCTTTTCAAGAGCAGTTGTTGTTGTCGTCGACGGTCAGGTCGCCGCTGGGATCGAAATCTAGTAACAAGTTGAACGGAAGCTTGATCGAAATTGTTTTGTGATATAAGAAGCTCGGTGGCCTATTGGCGACTGATTTTGCGTACTGATCAGAAAACCGTGGGTCCATACCTAAGCTCCTTCGCACTACTTCGCACCTACTACCTAGCATCCCAGTGATTTCTTGGCTTTCAGTAAAGCGAGTATTACGTCAACATATTCCTACCCATTCCTTTCTTGGCCAGCATTCGCTGGTATTGCCTAGTTTTATATCACCAGTATTTACACAATGAGGATAATTGCTAGTCCCCTCTAATGGTTCTCTATGTAATTAGAACTAATGTGGAGTTGCATCCTCGGGCGCACAATCATGCTCATGCTCAACAATGGAGTAATAATGAAATCAACGCTTCCAATACTCACCACTTCGAAAGATAAAACTCGTACAGCTTAACCGGACACCTCAGGGGATTCTCCTCGTTCTCTTGCTGTTCGTAGACTTTCTTTTTCCTTGAATTGGCGGCTGTTGTGAAAAGTATAATGATAAAATGGTGCACTTCAATGTCGCCAACCGCGAGTTCAAAACCATCTTACCTAGTGACGACTGTGGTGGGTAGAACCGCAGCAGCACGTTTCGAGATCCGGGCATTTTGGCACCACCCTGATTGGGATTCCTTTTCCAGTGTTTCATGATGTGCGAGAAGCTCAGCTCCATGTGTTCCTCCACCGTCTGTCCGAAATTCGAAAAAGTAAATTTAAATTAACACAAAATCAAGCGTTGGATGTCAAGGGATCATCAGAGGAAGACATTACCGTCAAGTTGAAGTGCTTCGTATTGAAGAACATCAGTGTACTGAGTAGAACGTGAGGCGAGTGTGCGCCCAGCTGTTTGCACTCCCACAGGTGTTCCTCTTCCACGCGAGTCACAATGTATTCTGTAGGGAGATTCAACAAAATGTTATTTTCGGTTGCGCATGATTAAAAGGTGCAAAACTTACGAGAATCGTTGTACAGCACCGAGAACTTCTTCGCCACTTCATCCAAACAATCGGTGAAGCGTTCGTAGTAGGGATCGGTAAAGATGTTGTCTATTCGCCCGTTCTCGAATAGATACTGTTGGATACCTGTTTTGGGGATTTTGATTTAGATTCAAACACATTCTAAGTCGGAATCAACTCACCTAGCACCAGATAGTAGATCGTATCGGGAGCGTACTCGGTCCCGTTTGGCTTCCGAACTTCCTTCACAAACAGACACAACGAATAGTTGAGCTCGTCGGCCGTTAGCTGCAGGATTTCCGACTTGAACGGTTTCCGTCGGATGGTGCTCTTCTCGAGATCGGCATTCTTGGTCAGGACCCACTGCTTCCAGGCGTTCACACCGAACGTGTACTTGAGACACATATTGGCGTCCGGTTTCTCGACCGGTTCCCGTGGCGGTTCGGGCGAGGGTTCGCTGATCTGTTCCCGTTTGATGCGCTTGTTGGGCGAAACTTGCTGCCGGTTGTTGTTGTTCGTCCGTGGAGTGGCCGGTGCTCGTTTGCGTCCGCCTCGCTGGGCGACGGCGGTGGCAGCGGCGGCTTGCCTTTGCTGTTCGATCATCATGAGCTGATGGTGGTGTAGCTGCTGCTGGGAACCGTCGTCGTGACCGTAGACATGATGGGCAGCGGCGGCCGCTTGTTGCTGGGCAATCGTGTTGGCCTGCATGGCGGATTCCAGATCGACAGCGGGTTCTTCGAAATCGTTCGATGCCATCTTGAGTGCCATCTGGACGAGGTCTTCGTTGAAGGAGGTATTATTTTCAATGGTGTCGTTTGCCGTGAACTGCTGCTCTTCGGCTGCGGCATCATCCGAGTCGGAATCGTCATCGTCTTTTTTCTTGTCACCGGCCACCATTTCGGCCATCATGAGCAGCTCGGCTTCGTACGGATCGGTGGGCATCTTGTCCTGGATTTTTTTTATTTCCTTCATAATGCCGTTGGCGGAGTTGCGCGTCGTCGGAATAAATACGGGCACAGGGATCGGGAGGGGGAAAGGAACTGGAATCGGAGTTGGGATAGAATACATATGCATGGGGGATGGGACATATATTGGAACCGGAATGGGAATCACAATTTTCCTTTGAAGCCACTCCTCAGTCTGGCATTCGACGTTACATTGAACAGGCCTGCAACTGACTGCTTTTGATTGCTGCATAGGTTTACACATAGTTCCAGCATTTGCTACAGGAACTGGAGTAGGTGGAATAGTCACAATCTGCGTTTTCAGTTCCACCTTCGGTGGAGGCGGTGCCGGAGGTTCGTACCGCTTCTGAAGCGATGTATTCAACTGTACGCTCAACGGTTCCAGCGATACCCTCAGCTCCGGCAGCTCCATCGTAGAGCTTTTTGAGCTATTTGGAGGTCGGCCAGGTTTCGATCGCGTAGATCGATTACCAGTGCCAACATGCCCGGCCAGCGACTGTACCGAGGATATCACTGGCAGGTCGCCGGAGGACATGACTGCATTGGCAACGGCAGCGGCCGTACGTGGAGGTCTTCCGGGTTTTTTCGGTGCCGGTTGGCCACTGGGCGTAGTAACTGCCGGAGCAGCCATGGCCGATGCCGGGAGCGTAGCCGACTTTTTGACACGCTTCGGTAGACCCGTCGGAACCGGGCTGTTGCTGGGTTCCTCGGAATCGATCGTCAACGGAGTCTTGTTGAACTGACTCTGGAACGACATCACGCACTGATAGGTACAGAAGTTCCGCACGCTGGCATCGCTCATCGTCAGGTGATACTGTGGGGTCTTCAGCAGCTTGCAGTGATCGCAGTGAATCTGCTTCATCGAGAGGGCATTAACGGATACTTCACACAGGGTAAGACAGTTCAGCGAGCACATGGCCATATTACCAACCACTTTCTGTATCATATCAAAGTTGTACTTTTTCACTTTACACCAATTGCACGACACAATTTTCCTGCTGGTGATTATATAGAGATTCATGCAAATTTTAGTACAGAAAGAAGCACCCTCGGGACCGCGATCCGAAGTGAAAATAGTGTAGCAATCGGAGGATTTCCGTTCGAAAAACACCTTGCACATGGCACACTCATCGGGGCAGACGTTGTTGACGAATTTAAATGCCGAAAAGCACGGAGTACTGCAGAAGAAGTGCTCCCGATTATCGAGCATCACGTTGATCTGGGTGACCTTCTCGTGGTTGCAGACGGCGCATACGTGAGGAACCTGTCGCTTTGTAGGATCCAACACTTCCTCGTACTTCTTCAAGCAAATTTGGGTACAGAAATCTTTAAACAGGCCCTTATCGCCGACCGGCGCGAGGAAACCGAGCTCTCCGACGGTGATGTCCCTCTGACAGTAGGAACACACCTTCAGGTTCTTTTTATACTGATCCAGACAGCTGGACCGACAGAACTGCCGCACATCGAATCCAAAACGGACGCAGTATTTGCCCAAGCTGGTCACCGAAACTGCATTACTGCACATGGCACAATTTGAACCAACCGAGTTCTGATAAACTCCCAGACATTTTTCATTACAAAAGTCCAGAGTCTCCCACTGGAGCGTTTTTTCGTTCAGCTGAATCAACTGGAAACACTGCGCACATCGCCGCATGAAACTCGCCTCCCGATCCAACCGAGCATGTTCAGCTTCCTCTTCTGTCCTCGCCACCATCTTTGCAACTTCCTGCGGTTGTTCCGATTCGCTCGGGACCCTTTTCGGCAAATCCCTTACCCGCACGGACCTTCGCTTCAGTCGGAACAAATCCTGATGCTCTGTCATCAGCAAATTCAAACAATCCTCATGGCAAATGAACAACTCATCATCGTCCTGCTGGAAGAAGTACTTGCATTCCTTGACATCATTACACTGAATGCATTTCTTCTGCTCCGGTTCGGCCTTTTCATCGATCAGATAGCGTTTCCTCTTCAGAACATACTTCTCGCCGTTGATCGTCGTCAGATGCTCCACGCACTTCATATCGCAAAGGTACTTATATCGGTTGTCTTCGCCGCTCTTTCCACTCTGATACCGATACTTGCAGATCGTCTTCTTCTCGCACCGGTTGCACGTCTCCTCACAGTCGAAGATCTGCACAATCGCTGCCCGCTTCTGGATCAACACGTACCTTCCCGGATTTTCGTTCCTCATCGACTGAACGCAGTCGAAAGAACAGATGAACTTGGCTTCCTCGCCGTCCTCCTGAATCAAGCTGTACTCGCAAACTTTAGTCGCGCTACACTTCAGGCAGGTCTGTTCCATCGGCTCCGGAACTTCTCGGATTTCGTTCACCTGCGGTGGGGCATCCGCTGCTTGATCCTGTTCTACTTCAACGTCATCCGTTTGCTCTGCACCTGCTTCTAATCGAACCTCGGCTTCCTCAGTCGACGGTTCCTTATCTGCCGTTTTCTCAGCCGGTTGCTCCTCGGCAACTGGATCCTTATCCTTCGTTGCCTCTTCTTCAACTGGTTGCTTCTCAGCTGTCTCCTCCGGCTTGCCCTCATCAGCCACCTCAACCGTATCCATTCCATCCTGACTCTTTTCTGACTCATTGGCTGCTTCTTGTGCCGCTCGAGCACGCTCTTTATCCGCTTCTGACAGTTCCCGTTCGTCATCTGGAAGGAGGCAAACGTTTTCGTCTACACCTTCTCCCTCCGACAACTCGTCAACTCCATCTGCAAGTGCAAAAATAAATAAATCCCTCTTCCTAAATCAAACAGCACACCCAGAACCTACCTTCGGCTACTGTTTCATCGGCGTGTTCGGCTACACTGTCATCGACACCACCAGCCTCAGCATTTGCGACTGAGGATTCATTTGCTTGTGTAGATTCTTCCGCGTCCGTACTAGTCACCCCCGTGGTATCCACCTCATCCACCGTAACGCCACTCTCGTTCTGAGTCGACGTCTCTTCCTTTGAATGTTCGGCATGCTTCACCTGATCGAATGGATCCAGCGTCGTCGAATGCTCGTGCGATTTATCCGTCTCGTCCATTGGTTCCGCCCCTTCGTCATCACCTTCGCGGTGTTCGCTATCTTCCACGTTTGTCATTTCGATATCCTCCAGCAGTTCACTCTCGTTTACCTTTTCTCCACCGGCTGCACTCTCCGGTCGACTAGTTGCTGCCACATCCTCCGACTCGACTAACTGACTTTCGCCCTTTTCCTGGACTGCTTCCAATGTTGGCGCGAAAGTGTCACCATCGTCTTTACCGGTATCCTCCTGCTTCTTTTCATCGACGTCCATTGCTTCCTCCTCTGGGGGTGCCGCCTCTGTAGGTGTAGGTGTAGGTGTTTCTGCTGCGTCATTCTGGGGCTCTTCTGCCGCCACCACTTGTCCCTCGACCTCATCCGTTCCGGCTACGGAGGAGGATTCTTGAGATTCCTCCTCGGTAGCTGGTGCCGGCCCCTCCGATGCAGCAGAAACAACAGCATCCGGTTCGTCTGTTGTGACTGGCGGAGCTGCTGATGATTCTGCTGCCGATTCTTCAACTGGTTGAGTGGGCTCGCTGCTCGGTGGTTGATCCGCCGATGGCGGCCGATCGCTGACTTCGTCCATTTTGCGGGCGCGTCAACCGCAGCTGCTGTACGGAGTTTTCTTTAAATTGGCAGGTTGGGTCTAATTTTCCTCTAGTCGATTCACGGTTTCTCGACTTCCCAAAGTTTGAACTTTACTTTGTTGAATGTTTACTTTCTTTTCAAGCAATTAGCACACGATTACGATAGACGATGCGTTGATTAACCTGCGAAACAAAGGTTCTTCGTGTTATTCGCGTTTTCATTTAAATCTGTTGATTCGCTGGAATGTCAACCCAAACCAAAAATGTTGGTTTAATATTAGTCTTGTTACTGTAGATCATTGTCTTAGAATCGATTTCTTCACCAGCGCTTGAAGCTTATACCCGGTTTACCCTATAGTCGACTATAGTTTACCCTTATGGTTCAACCGGGTCCAAGGCTTAACCGCAAGTGAAGAAATATGCCTTTGAAGAGCTAAGGATTACTTTGCAAATTTGAAAACCCAAAAATAATCTATGCACTAATGAGATTGAAATTAACGCATTTTTTTTGGAGTTTATTATCGAAGTTTTCAGCCGCAGGCTGGTTCATCTCCCAATTAAAGCATTTAAATCGTAGTCTAATCGAATAGTAACTTCTGCTTAGGTAGAATCAAGAGATGTAAACCTACCTCTTCAAGTATACGTGAAATACTTTCATGAAAACCTACCCGTACGAAATTTAGATTTTGGACACACGGCAAAAGTTTTAAAATTTGGGCATCGAACTTTTCTTAATGTGTTCTTTAGGAGGCATACTTAAATGACGTATAGCACATTTTTGACGCTAGATAGTCCCTGTACACTCTAATCTACGATTACCTAAAATTATAGCGATAGCGATAATTTTTTACCGATAAAAATCGTTACTTTTTGGCTCAAAATAGGTTATTTTTTACTATAAATTAGGACATTTTTAACGTTAACTTTTAATCCATGATTAACGATAATTTAGGTATGACCGTTCAGATCATACTGAAGATCAGATGAGAAACTTCCGTAAAGGTTGTCAATTCGTAAAAAAGATCCAATAGCTCAGCGATTTTTTAAATCACTTGTTGTGATGCTACATGCATGCTTGGCATGCACAGTTGTACACACCAACTGCTCATTTGTTTATAACTTTTCACTCAGTTATTGAAAATTGATTTTCTTTAAAGTAATTGATAGATTAGGATCATAGCTTACTAAAGATATACAAAGAGTAGGTAAATCTTTACATTTGAATCAACACCAATGAATTTTTACACTTAAAGTCCGAGATGTGCAGCAAGCATTTCTCACTTCATTTTTACAACGCAAAAATAAATACAGTTTATTACTAGAATTAAAATTTACCATTTCTTACGTACCTATTACAAACATAAAATTTATTCTATCTACTGCTTCAAACAGAACTACGTTTTGTCAACTGTGTGCAAAGTTATTAGCAAATGAGCAGTTTGTGACCAAAACTGTGTATGCCAAGAATGGCTACATGAATGAATTTGAATCTGTAGGGACGGTCTTCTGAGAGATCCCGAAACATCCGTAAAGTGGTCAATTCGTAAAAATGATCCTAGACTACCACGATTCTTTTAATCACTTGTTGTTAAGCTATATGAATGAATTTGGATTTGAGAGCAGCATCTGCACTCAGCTATAGATTCTAAAGCTCCTCTGTTTTTTTTAATGCACTTGTTGTGATGCTGCATGTATTAATTTGGATCTGCAACCAGCATGCGCACTTTGTGGTCCTCCGGAAGATTAAGAATATTCATATATTTCTTTGTAGTGATGCTACATTAATGAGTTTGGTTCGGAAACCAAAATGTATGTCCTAGCGTCCAAGGAAGGTAACATCCGTAAAAGTAGTCGTTTAATGAAAAATATCCCAAATCTGTGGAGGCCTGCTACCTTAATCCGGCGCAAATTGATCATTATCATTAAAAATATTGATAGCATTTCATTTTCATTTTTATTTTTATTTTGCAGCGTTTGGTGGGGCAATGAGAGCGCAAGTCAATCCAAAGCCGAGGATAAAGGACGGGTAATGGCTGAATAGTCTATGCGAACCACTTGAACGCCATGGGAAAAGAAAGGGATTGAAGAGGCCGGTTATTAGTATAGTCGCTATATTCATAGTCTGGCGGATAGAATCTCGGGAACCAATTGAGCTGTCAAATAGCGGAACCAATCGAGCAAATCACGATCAACAACAGAAAAGAGCACATCAGTTATTGCGAACAAAACTTCGGAACCCCTTTTCTCGTGACTCAAGACTCACCTACGCAAATTAATACCATCTTTGGGTTGGGGAAAGCTTCTCCTATCCGATGATGCTGGTAATTTGCGTTCGATTGGCGAGGAAAGAATAATCAACGTTTTGTTTATAAAAGTTGATAGAACCTTTTCAATTGTTGGTCTACAATATATTGAATTGGTTCTGCTTTTTGATAAATCGAAATTCTATTCGCCAGACTATGAATTTAGCGACTATAGTTATTAGGGGGTTTTGAGGAAATGACACATAGTGATGCTAAATGTAAAGAGCTTGAGCTTGATTGACCGCCCACGGTTGCTACTCTGTTATTGCCAGATCAGCTGTAATTACACAAAGAACCAATAGACGATGCTTGGGACTAGCAATCATCCTCAATGTGTAAAAACTGGTGATCTTAAATTAGGCAATACCAGCGCCGGCCGCGCCCGAACACAGGTCAAGAAAGGAATGGGAAGGATTGTGTTGACATGACACTCGCTTTGATGGAAGCCGAGAACACCTCTGCACTTCCACGAGGAATCACTGGGATGTTGGATAAGAGGGTTGGGTTTGCAGCAGGGTTCGTTTTGGTAAACGATAAGCTGAATTGATGTCCTAACGATCATATAACGCGAAGGAGCTTGGGACTAAACCCACGGTCTTCTGCTCAGTAAGCAAAAACGTTTGCCACTAGGCAGACGAGCACCTTTTTAATCACCGAGTTGCTGTTATTACCATGTAGTCATATTAACAAACAAAACGATTGACGAATCTTGAATGTGGATGGGCCTGAGATTAGACTCATGATGTTCTGCTCAGTAAGCAAAAACGGTTGCTCTAAGGCCACCGAGCCCCTCATATCACATAATACCGTTGCTCAAATTTTTGTATCCATTCAAACCCGGAACCAACGACAACAACGAGTTTCGCAAAATACACGATACACAAGCGATTTTACCATAAATCTCTTTGATATGTAAGGACCTGGGACCGCGGTTTTCTGCTCAGTAAGCAGACCACTGTAACCGACGATCTTTCAAATCCGAAAACTAAAAACTACGAAAAAGTACTTAGGCCTTCATTAAGTTCCACTTTCACCCGACGTTCAATGTTTCAATTTGCTCTTTACGAATTGTTCAGGCTATAAATAGGCCCAAAAGTTACGTGAGAAATACGCACAATCGTCGCCTACCTCGCAAAACTGGTTCCAAACGACAACAAAGGCATAAGCAACGATGGATTGTTGAACTTTGCTGGCTGGTGTAGTGCAAAGCAAAAAAAAAAATGTAATATCGAACAACGTAATTCAAGCTGATGTATGACATAGTGATGTTAAATGTAAAGAAACCGAAAATCCATCTCCCATTGATTCATCCTTTCACATATATACCAAATTGATATTTTAAAGCAATAATGAAAATAAACAGACAATACATGAAAAGGCTAGTTGCCAGTTGCTTTAAAGGCTAGTTGCCTCCCTAAGCGGACCCTCCGCATCCTAGCTCTTCTGTTAATCCACTTAATGCTACTAGGCTGTCTAAATTTTCTTATTTAAGTTCGTTTGATGATTATGATATCTCTAGGTCAATTTAATAAATAATTGAAATCTCTAATCTACCTACCATGCTTTATTAAGTATCTGCACTTGTGAATGTAATCTAAAATTTAACGTGTTTCAAGTTGTTTTTGACTTTGACCTATATTTAATATATATTAGTTCGTCCCAGGTGACACCTTCAAGTGACTAAAATGCTTCACTTTGAAGTTAGTTTCCTAGCTGATTTTTAAATTACATAGGGTATATGCTTCAACTACGCTTTTCATTGAGGTATTACTCAGGGAACAATGTTAAACACCATTTTTGTACATGGTATTGCAACTAATCTTATATGTGCTTCATTTTGATTTGGGATAAGTGTTTGAACTATGAACTATGGAACTACCTTTTTTTCCACTGCATAATCGTACAATTTATTGGTGATTTTTCTGGCACATGAACTCAACATCCAAACATCACACATTGAACACTTACGTTTCATTTTTAGATATTCTTCAATTCAACTGTTCTAGTAGGAAACTTTGATTTCTAACTGATCATTTCTTTCATAACATTCGTTGTTTTATGTGAAGCATTATATCGTACCTACGAGTGAGTGATATACCTACGAGTCTAAGCTGTAACTCATGGGTATATCACCTGTTCGTAAGCAATGACGTCACTTCAAACAGCTGTTTCAGGTAAATAGATGAATATTGCGAATAAATACAAACACCACCAAACATTTCCAAATGTCACTAACACCGCGAAGCCTATTGGGCTGAAGCTTATGTAAAAGTCATTGCCTACGAACGATTGATATAGGTACAGCTTGGACTCTTAGGTACTGATGCAACATGCAAAAAATTTTTGGCATTGCTGCCGTGTGGCATTTTTTCGCAACTTGTCATGGAAAAGGCCCTATGGGAGGAGTATTGAAACGAAACGCTTTAAAATTTGAGTATACGAAGGGAAAGGTAGGATCTGCAATGTTTAAAACTTGGTCTACGTGGTTTATGGACGGCCCGCAGGTTGAACTGAATGTTGCACCCAGCTTGTAAGTTACTCATAGATTTCATTAGTCACAGCTGCTGTGACTCGATGGAGACGCATTGTGAACTACCTTGCGTCTTCATCGTTTCCATGCACGTGTGGTGCATATATTGTGGAACAATAATTTTTTATTTAAAAAAAATTGTATCTCCAAAACTGCTTCTCCGACATCGCTAATTTTTTGATATTTTATGTGAAATTAAATGATCTTTCAATTAAAAATACTAAAATAAGAAGTTGTTGAAGACCCTCGCAGTGAAAATCAAGAAAAAGCATTTGTAACATATTTTTTTCCTACAAAATCAAATATCTCTGAGTGTTTCATAATTTTTCTTAAAACTACATTAAAACATCTTTCATTTGAAGGGTCAATCGTACAAATCGGTCAAGAGGTTCAGAAGTTATAAATGTTTAAAAAAAGACATTTTTGAAAAAAAAATATTTTTTGGACCACCCTAACACGGAAATGGTCACCCTAATGGCGCAATAAAAAATACGAGTCTAATATTTTTTGATAAGGAAGAACTATACCAATTTTCATGAAATTCTGAGACCCACTATAACTTTTATCTATGGAATTGCTGCTCTTATAAACAGGAAATCCAAACTTTGCCTGACGAATGAACTTCTAATATTTGAACAAGTTTTTAGATCGGCCATGCTTTATGCTGTCAGCTTCTCGGGAAAACCGTTCTCGTCCATAATCTTGGATGGGGCTACGATGGATGGTGTACAGTGCTGCGTGAAGATATCGGGTGCGTTATCGGACTCGTTTGAAACTCACAAAGGACTTCGACAAGGCGATGTTCCTTCCTGCTGGTAAGTTACTGTAGTAACTGGAGCACCTAGGTTAAAATGAAATGTAATTCATTTTGCATTTGGAACAAATAAAGAGTTTAAAAAATGACGCTTATGAAATTTCAGGTACTCTAAAAAACATAAGTAATTCGGTACACCGGAAGCTTTTGCACCTTCATAACGTCTAGGAACTTCCGTAAAATCACCAACTTTGAATTTTCAAGAAATTCAAGAAACTTCCGGATTCTAAAGGAGACTCCAATATTTCAGGGTATACTATTGCTCGAAATCTCGGAAATGTTCCAGAAGCATTGGGAGTTAATGAGAGATTCAAGAATCTTTAGACATTTTGCACACTTTATCTAGTCTATGACTAGACACTGAATAAGTTTGCAAGTAGTAAACGAAATAGTTTTTTTTTAAGTAATCGTGAAAGTAAATAGTGAAAGTGATACAATAGAAGTAGAATTATTCTACTAAAACGCTCATCAATCAACTAACATTTTAAAAACTTATGCGAACTTTTTAAAGTCCTTGGATTTATAAGTTGTTGATGAGTAACTAAGGGTGAGTCAGATAGCTTAAAAATAATAGTTAATCGTCTCTTGCTGTACTCTTCTTGAGAACATTCCATACTCTAAGACTACGCTATTATACGTGTTGCTGTGAAATTTATATCAAAATATTTCTTAGATTTGTTGGTGAAGGAGCAGCTATAAACCGAGGACTGCTTTCAATGTGCAGTTCGCTCTAAGAATGTTTCGGTTTGGAAAAACTTTCCAAATTTCTTGGGCATAGACTACCATTTTAATTTCCACTAAAGAAACTAACACAAAAATGTACAGGCCAACAAAGCTCACAAATAACACCTCTTGATTTATCCTATTTTCCTATTTTAACCAGAGTCTAGCTGAACACCAAGATTTTAATAGTTAGTAAGAGCTTAGTAATTGTTCTTATTTGTAGTCATTTGGAAGTCTTCATTGTTTGTTATCCTATAACCTATAAGCCTAGGAAGAGCAGAACTAAAAGTTAACTTTTCCCATAGTACCCATTAACTGTCGGTCAGAATTCTTAGCTATATTTTTAATGTCAAGAATTTCCTTAGAATCATTATTCTCAGAGTTCTTGTCAGCAACCCCAAAAATTAACTTTAGATTCTCTGTGGTACCCCTAGAGGTTTTTTTTTCAGTCTAGAAAATTCTCCACAGAATACAACACACACTTTTAATGATTCTCCAATTCTCCAAAGATTATCTCGGAATCCTCCTTTGAAATATCACAAAAAAATCTCCATAGAATTGCCATTTAATTCCACAATTGCCTTGGAGTTCTAGTTAACACTCCCTTGGAGCTCTTTCCAGAACTCCTTCGAAATTTTTCTAATTTACATTCCTTCAAAATTCTCTCAATAATCCTTCACAGCGGCAGAATCCTGGAATTCCAGTCCACTCCAAAGGCCTTGAAAATTTTCTAATGCCCATCCTTATTTTTAAAGATAGAAGCATTTTTTTCTAAATTCACGGGCTTTTTGGTGATTTCGAATTTCTGACTTTTCCCGTTTCAATGGCTACCCTACACAATCAATGTATTATACATGTCTATCATAGATCGGATTATACAACCCTCTCACCATTCTTCAGGAGTGGCTCCTAAATACTAAATTATTAAAATATTGTTCAACGCTCGATTTCTGTTTATACAAATCAGAACGTCCTGAACCCTTGTAAACAAAATTTCTCAAATACCACCCTAAACACAACAACAATCCAATCTCCAATCGGGAAGCCCCCTGTTCCCTATCCAACCCAACAAAAACACACGCCAGAAGACCGCGACTCTGCACTGACCGGCAGGCAAAGTGGCAGATCCCGCGCTAACTTTGCAGCGCCTCCTTCTTCTGTGCATTTCGTTCTCTGCTGCTGTGTGCTGTGCGATGCGGTTCGATCGAAGCGCCGAACAGCGACGGCGACGACGTCGAAGAAAAAGAGGAAAAAATTATGCGTGCTTCTTCCAAGGTAGAAAACGACTCCCGCGTTTCCTCAACATATTAAAATTTTCCTTGGCATTCGGCAGCACTAGCACCGCACAAAATTCACCGGAAAACATCGAAAGCCGTCCACTGATAAGGGAGGTACATTTTCCCGATAGTTTCACCTAGGGAAAATCATCATTCTACACCGAAAATTCATTTTTGTCTGGTTTTCACAACAGCTCTGGGGACCGCTCCTGATCGGCACAATTACCTTGTGGGTTTTTTGCACGAAATTTCACGGCTCCGCACTTGAATTCACATCACGCCGACGCGGCCCGGATTACACTTTCGATTGCAAATGATTACGTCCGCTTGAGGATCAATTTTTCCGCAATATTTTTCTTTTTCACGTACCGCGAAGCCTCTAGCGCAACATTGTGTCAAAAACAAGCGCACACCATTTTGTTTTTCCTCGCCCCGCACTCCCGTTTACTGCTGCTGACCGTGACAGACCGGACCCAAAGCGAAAAAGGCGAGAAGGGAACAAAAACTCAGAAAATGCGAAGCGACCCTGTGGCTGAATGTGTTGCATACTGTAGCGGGATTTCGGGAAGGTATACACGGAAGATGAGGCCAACTCAAAATTGAGTTCCCTAATCAAAATTAACATAAAAGAGAGCTTCACGACGTGTTCGGGGTATCATCCAAACCATTTATGAGATAGTTTATCCATCAGTTCGTTTATCGTACTTGTTTATTAGGGTTGATTACGGCTCAATTTTAGCCAAAAGCGGATTTGCTCACAAAGGAGTATGATATATCATCCATATTTTGTTGGTTTTTTTTCGAGCTTGAAATTCAGCAATCCATTCAGCAAATATTATAGAAGTGACAGCTCATCACCGTTTAACCGGCAATATTTCACTGATTTTTTCAGCAAAACTAAACAACAATTATTTCGGTGCACCGCCAATCTTAAGTTGAGTTTAATTGTTGGCTTCGGAAGAACACTTGTTCATAATTATAATAACTATGACTCATTTACGAGGGGCGCGCACTACCAGGTATGAGTGCGTGATATTTAAAATATATCGTAGTAATTTAAATACTTTGATGACAGTAATAATTCTATTTTGAATACTTTTAAGGGTATTGAAAGTAATCAACATATAATTAACGATAATTTATGTAATGGCAAATAATTTAAATGTATTTATCAAGGTTGCAAAGACTCATTTCAACTAAAATAATGTTTTTTTCGGAATAATAAAACCAAGAAATGGTATGATGGCATGTTTTACTTGTAACTTACAAGAAGAGGTTACAAAGTATGCGTTGGAAACATAAAACCTGTAAATTTTGCTTTCTATGAGTCACAATCAGCGATTTGCTGATCGCTGAGTGAGTGAGTGAGTTTGTGAAAAATCGCTGATTGTGACTCTCATGAAGTGAAATAAACAGGTTTAATATGCCAAACACATTCTTTGCAACCTCTTCTTGTATCCTACCAATTCAAAATTTGATCATGGCATCTAATTATTTCATAATTTAGAAAACATTGTTTTAACTGAAATGAGTCTTTGCAACCTTGGTATTTATAATAATTTAAGTATCAAATTTTGTCAATATTTAAAGTATCTAATGAAATTTAGAGCGTATTTAAAGTAATGAAAGCAGTAATTACAAGATTTTAAATATTTGGTCAACAGGCTGCGTAGTATTGAAAGACTAGTGCGTGCCCTTCGCTCATTTATTTATTGGGCGAATTGAGCAGTTAAAAATTGCAACAGTCGTATACCCAATTCAGTCTCTTTAGTATAGACAAACCGCGAGCGATTTCGCACTTGACTAGGGTTCTCTGCTCTGAAATCATTGGGTCAATGATAACATTCATAAACTATGAAGTAAGTTTCCCTAATAAAAAATAACCATAAACGAACGATAACCCAAATCATTGAACTATTCCACAAATGGTGTGGATGATACCCAGAACACGTCGTTAAGCAAATTAACCATACAATTTTTATTAGGGTTGCACGATGATGCTGTTAAAAAAGGCACTTTCTACCCGACTTGCTATTCTTGAATATATAGGAATGTGAAACGCAAAATGATAGTTTCCCTAATAAAAATTGTATGGTTAATTTGCTTAACGACGTGTTCTGGATATCATCCAAACCATTTGTGGAATAGTTCAATGATTTGGGTTATCGTTCGTTTATGGTTATTTTTTATTAGGGTTGACAGATCATGCAGTTAACTAATCATTCAGCTAAATATTCAGGATTGCTGTTCGTTCAGTAAAAACTGGTTGTGCTGGAAGCAGTTCAGCAATCTATTCTGCTGGAACTAGATTCCAATTTTTGATGTGTAGAACCGCGTTAGTTTGAATAGCAATTAATTTATGCTTATTTAGGATTTTTTTTACCCCTGCACTCACAAAATTCCACACATTTTTATTGACGAATTTCCATGAAAAACTCCACGTGATTTTCATGTGACCACACATATACAGAATCCACTCAGAAGTACACATGGAATTTATGAGTCAAATGAATAGTATGTGTGGTCACACATGGCTTATTAAAACAATATTTGAAATTTTATTAGTGTACAAATATGCCTAATGACGTTGCGCACCGGTAATAAGTAATAAATTCTAAGTGAGCGTCGTTTAATTGCGATTTTAGCTATTCAAACTAACGGGGTTCTACCATATCCTTTCACTCCACCGAAACTCCAACCGTCAACCATCAAGTAGAGGAACGATTCCATTACCAGCTGGTATGTTTACAGGAGTGGAATTTAATTTGCGGGAAATCGCCGAAGAGGTTATTGTTGGCAAAAGTAGTTTCTCCTCAATAAAATTTTGCATCGAATTAATTTCTGGAAATTCCGAGGGGAGTTGAAGGGAATAATGAGGATAATTTTAAAAATAGCCAAGGGGAAACATATCAGAAATTTCTGGAAGCGTATCCCGAATAATCATAATAATATGTCCAAAGAAATTCGCTTCAAAGTATTTACGGAAGGAATCCAAAGAGGAGCATTCAAAACGAATGTTGAGCAAATTTCTAAAAAATTCTGAGTAGGACCCCACGAAGATTCAAAAGAAAATTCTATGTGAGTTCCGAGCAGAATTCCAAGAGAATTTTAAGGAGTTTCAAAAGAATTGCAAAGGAAATACCTAGAGGTTCTCTCAAGGGCAGTGCTGAGATTTGTCATTGACAGACTTGATCTTCAAAAAAAACTTTTGTCAAAATTTCATTCTATTTTCCGTCAATGACAAAGATTTACCTGGTAACAGAACGTGTAATTTCGTGCATTCTGAGTCACATTATTGTTATCCAAGCAGTTCAGGACGTAGATACTCTCGTAGATCTCTTTAACGCCTCCATGTAATTATTTTGCTCAAGTTATTTAATTTCGTTTCAAATTTAGTAAGCATTGTCACTGACAAATGACATGGTTTGCCTGTTAGCTCAAATGAGTGACCAAAACAGAATTTTGAATATCGCCGTGTATTGTCGAGATTTTTCAGCACTGCTCAAGAGTACAATGAGAAGAATTTCAAAGGAATTCTGATGTCAATTCCAAGGTAATACAATACTTTGCAATACTTGGATGAATGTCAACAGAAGGGGAATCATGAGGAAAATTTGTTGATAATTCTGATAGGAATTTCGAAAAAATACTGAGGTTAACTTTAAGGAAATTCTGAGGAGAATCGGAGATATTTTTTAGATTCTATAACATGAAAAGCTTTCAAGGTTATCACACTGCCGAATATTAGACATCAAAAACGTTGAGATAGCGATTTAAATGAAACATCAAGCTACTGAGACTTGGATTTTTTTACGAGTCTCACTCACATTATCTTGCACTTGACAAATTTATGCAACTCTGGTAGCTAATTTGCTTATTTCACACTTAATAATTGGTATCTAGTACTAAGGGAATGTTAAAGATTTCGAGCTTGGAGAAATATTCAAACCATCGAACTAGGAATATTTATCAACATAATGCGATTAATTAAAACTAACAAAAACATTTGAAGCAGGCCTGCCCAACGATCACATTTTGCGCGGCCCGCGGATTATTCTATTCTCAATCAGCTTTGACAGACGAGTTTAAGTTTCTTATTAAATAACAAAGCTGCTGACCGATGTTATCTTAAAAACTAACGGAATAAATAAAAAAGTTTAATTTTGAAACATTACTGAACGATTGCTCAGATGATAACATTTGTCAACTGAGTAAACCATACCCATTTTTGATATCAGAACCATTTAACCACTCATCGGAGCAAAACAAGTTGACTCATTTTTGACAACTCAATACAGCATGAAATGAGTGCGATCTACCTGTCACTGAAAAGCCTCGAAATATGACTGACTGACTGGTTTTTGTTTTGGTAGCAATAAATCTCAAACATTATAGAAAAGTACCATAAAAAGTGCATAACGGGGCGTTTTCAGGTTTATTTTTTTAATTATTTGTGCAACAACTTTACCAATTTGGAATCGTTCGTTTATGGTTTCCGTTTATTTGGTAAATTACAAGAATCGACATTCAACCTTTTCGAAAATTGAACCGCATTGAAATTCTCGGTACAGTATCAAAACACTTCCAGCCACAGGGACAACCAGTCGAAAAAGCTTCAAGTTCCAAACGGCGCGCAAGAAAATTTCTCCCGCGCTCAGCACTGTCAAGTCGAAAGCTCACTCCTGCTGTCAATGAGCTAAATACTTCTAGCCCGGCTAGCAAGCCGTCGAAGCAGCAGCAAAGTTCCTTGTGGAAAATGACGCCTTCTACGGGAGTCGGCATCGGCGACGTACATTTCCGACACCGAAGCACTATTTCACCAGTGGAAAACACTTACACTGCTTACCTGATTCAGTTAGGGAAATTTTCCGCCAGGTTGGATCCGATTTGGGAGTAAATGTTTGCACTAATTTACACTACTCGCCATCAGTGACGTAGTTCTTGACTAACTCTCTGCTGCAAACTCGGACACTAACTCGGCTGACCACTCTAGCGTGCTAGGATGTCGTTGAGAGATGTTCTTCTGTGAGCGAGAAGGCACTCAACGCTTGATAGATAGAGCTTTTCTATGTTTACTATGTAAGCGAGTGGGGTGGGTGGTGGGATGTTATCAACCACGGAAGAAGGGTCTACGGGGGAACACTAGAGAGGGAAGACCATTATCATGTTTAATAGACATTGATTAACAAGATTTATTAAAATATTACAGAAATGGATTGATAAAACGCCGAAAAATTGTTCGTACAAAGCGAAAAATTTATTAGTTATTAATCCGTAATACAATGCGTATGAGTGGAAATTATTTGATCACGTTGTTATATAAAACTTATAAACGAATTCGAGTTTAAATAAACATAAAAGGAAAATGCTTAATTACGATCATGGAAATCTGTCCTTATACCTCCTTAAGGACTATGTAAGCGTTAAATCAAAAGAGTATTAAACTTACTTATTTAAATATTCAAAACAAAGATATTTGAGGAGTTTTATCCGAACACAGAATTAACTTCCGTAAACAATAATGCCTAAACGACCAGAAAATAATCATGGCAATTAATAACAAAACAGCCTTTCGAATAGCAGTACTTTTCTTGAACAAAAACTGACCAACTAAAAAAAAATACCCTAGGTATGCGCTCTACAGTGAATCTATAGTGTCATATCTTTGCTCGATCCGTGCAAAATTCATATCTTTCAAAAAATAGTTGCAGTGTCGTTTACACGAATTGCCTCTCAATCTATGCCCAAAGTCCTGTCATTTACTATATGTAGAGTAGTTCATCAACACTGTTGAAGCTGAGTAATAATTAAGCGATTTCTGTTTTCAAAATAATCGTCAAACTTGAACTGGAAAGCGTGTGTTTCTACAATGATCATTTTGTTCGTATCCCTAGCACCAGCGTGGAGAAAAATCTGCATTAAATAGGTACGTACGAAAGGAATCGTTCCGCTTTCTTTGGTCTTTGAAGGAAACATTATTTCCTGCCATCTCCATTTCTTTACTTCTTCTTCGGGGCCGACGATGCCTGACCCTGGTTGGTCGATTGGAACACCGACGAAGCGGACATCAGATTTTCGATGTACTGTCCCAGGACCTGATTCTCGGAGCGGAGCTTCAGATTCTCCTCCTTGACGCTGTCTACCCGCTGGGACAGATCGTCCAGGGTGTTTTGCAGCTCCAGAACCTGAGTGATGAGTCGAGCGCGCTCCTCTTGCTCGTCCGCATCGGGTCCTTCGCTCTCGAGGAAGTGACGCGGACTGGAATTGCCATTCGTATACGAGCTGGCGATGGAATCCAGTGAGCGACCGTTCTGCATGTACTTGGAGCTGTCATCGTCGTTGATGATCACTACAAAGGAAATTTGGGAAAGTTAGATGTTTTCTCCGCATACCGATTTGTATGAAAATAAGTTCGTTTGTGAATACTTAATACTTTTTGACCTAATTACCGTCAATTTTCCGCATCCACCCCGAGGATTATGACTCACCTTCCAGATCATCATCCGCCAGCGGGATATCGTCCGCAGACTTGAGCGACATGGCCGAGGAATCCATCGATGGAGGTTTCAAACTTCTAGATCAGAAAACAACGTCTAGCAATCACTGCACACGTTCGAAAAACTTACCAAGCAATGGATTTTGACGTGCTGAAAAATCGAAATTTTCTGCTGCCTTTACTGCTTTTTCCGTTTTTTCACACACGACGCATTTTCTGACAGAAACTCGCGCATAGAAAATGCATCTCCATCAGAAAAGAAAACAAATCACGAATAGGGCTGGCAGAGATATTTTTTTCTTATAAGAATTGCGATGAAAAAATGGCGATGATTTATCAATGTCACTCGCAGGGGTGGACTGTAAGATGATCGGCTCTCACTTATACTTAGGGTGGCCTTTTGCTCCCCCATCTCAATCGATTGAAATTCATACAAATATACATACGAAAAACGCTTCGTTTCAACTTCGCCAATGAGACCCATATAAAATGAAAACCCTAGAATAATGTTTGAGGTTTTTGTTTATACTTTAAACATATGAATAATTATTTAAAGTAAATTAAAAACATGTTTCAATCTAAAATATGTACACGGATAGAAATCTCCTTACACTGATAAAATTTCAAATATTGTTTTTATGTGTCCCACACATGAATTTTTGCAATGTGATCAACAAATGATATCTATGTGTCGGACACATATTTAATACACACAAAAAATTATCATTAATAACATTAAAAAAACCGTTGGTAGAAATAAAAGTTTGCATTGGTTCTTTTTGGTAGAAAGTACTTAACTTTCAACACGAAAGTCAGCCAACTGTCAAATCAAAAGTTTAACATATTATTAATTTTAAAAGTTGAAACTTTCAAATCGAATTGTAGAACTGTCAAACTGAAAACCTAATCCTTTTAGATTGACGTTGGAAAAGTGTTGCTTCAAAACATGGGTATTAAAGAAGAAATTTTCTTCGCAATTTGTATAAGTTTTCATCTCAATTACAAATTATTTTTAAATTAATTGCTTTTATGATGCATACAGAAAATAATAAATATTTATTTTTATGTAAGTAAATTCTTAATATACATAATTTAATGTTTCATTAACATGTTGTTAAATGTTGTTTGGAAAAAATCTAACTCAGTATCGGAACAGATATTAGTCTTCGGCGGATAATGAAGGTTTCCTCCTAAATACGGGGTTCCAACGTGCAGCGGACTTGGTCGAACGAAAGTGCATCTTGCTTTCGTTGCTGGCCGACAATAAGCACCAAGCCGGGTATGGATCGGGTGATCGGGCGTCTGAATTTTACCAGTAGGAAAGAACGGAGTCTCTAATCCCTATTGATAGCCACCAAAAACGTCTCGGCTGTGTGCTCCAACGTCCCAAGATGCTTTCGATCTGAAAAATTATCAATTTCATTTTCAAAATCATCCTCGAAATATGTAGACAGTAGTAGCAATCTTACATTCTGCGAAAAACTCAATCTTTTTCACTGCCTCCGGTACCGGAATCGGTTCCTCCGGTTTGGAATTTCGGAAGTGTACGATGCACAATTGATTTTCTGCGGTCTAGTATCTTACCTTATATGCCCTATTAGATTTTTGGACAATGACAATGAGCTTTTCAGGAGGTCATTTTGACATTTGTACAATTTTTGTTTTAAAAATGTGAACTTTTAAAATTACGTATCGATAGTCAAATAAAAACTTTCAAATCATAGAAAATAAATTCACTTGGAATATTTTCGTAGTTGAAACTACCAAATTCGAGAAACTTTTAATTTGAATTGGTAACATTTTTATAGATACCATTTTTATTTTTTGTGTGTATGTATACACATAAAAGCCATGTGTAACTACACATATTATTCATTTGACTCATAAATTTCATGTGTGCTTCTGGGTGGATTCTGTTTATGTGTGGTCAAAATCATGTGGAATTTGACATGGAAATTCGTCAATAAAAATGTGTGGAATATGTGGAATAAATATTTTATTAGTGTATAACGTTTTGGCAAATTTCTATTGCTGATTATTAATAAAAAGTCGAGGGGAGCGACACATCCAAATCTCAATTCTAGATGCTCAAAGAATCTCACACTAGCGAATAAATATTCGAAAAATCTTCTTTCATTTCTCGCATCTACTTGCATCGCACAACATCTTTTTGCAGGAAATCTTCAAAATCGTGATAAATCTTTAGCCACAGCAAAACACAATATTTCCTGCATCGTAGATAGAGTCGTCCCCCTCGTAAAAAGTATAAGTCAACTATTAAGCAGACGCCTTGCAAAAATTTAATGAAGATCATGTGTCAAATGAAATGTATAAGCGGTCACACATACCTTTTATGCATTCTTATAGGAACTATGTGGTTTGTCTTATGGAATGTATAAGGCTCATGTTTTGGGAAAAAAATTTAAGTGAAACACATGAATAAAATAATTGATTTTCGTTTCGTTTATGTTTTACTCGGCAGAAACACACTCCGATGTGACACTCTTTGTATATGATGCTTAAAACCAACGAATTTCTTTCGTAAGTTCTAGAACTCTATTCTCCACCATATATGTACTTCCGAAATCCAACTATCAACCGAAATTCGTTTGCCTTCGCAACTGGAGCCAGCTGGTGCCAGCTCTCTCTTTCCAGCGGCATCTTTCCGTCTTGCTGGAAGACTGCGGATATGTTTCCTGTTCATAAAAAGGGAAGCAAACGCGACGTAAACAACTACCGGGGAATCACGTCACTGAGTGCTGTACCAAAACTTTTTGAATTGGTTGTCATATAGTCCCTAAATGCGCATTGCAAGCAATATCTAAGTACAGATCAACACGGATTCATAACTGGGCGTTCCACAACTACGAACCTGCTGTGCCTAACGTCTTACATCACAGACAGTTTGATGGCTCGGACCCAAACGGACGTTATCTACACAGATCTTACGGCAGCCTTCGATAAGCTGTACCACGAAATTGCGATCGCTAAGCTTGATAGGCTAGGGATCGGTGGAAATCTTTTGAGATGGTTTCGTTCATACCTCACGGAGCGCCAATTGACAGTAACTTTGGGTACTTGTCGCTCAGCAAGCTTCTGCGCAAAGTCCGGTATACCTGAGGGTAGCCATCTGGGACCATTGGTATTTCTCCTCTACTTCGACGACGTTCACCATGTTATCACAGAGCCACGATTATCGTTTGCAGACGATCTGAAAGTTTTTCTGCGCATCCGCTCACTCGCCGACTGCCGTTCTCTCCAAAATCAGATTGACATCTTTGCTGACTGGTGTAGTCTAAACCGACTGGTGGTCAACCCAGCTAAGTGTACAGTTATTACTTTCTCACGCAAGAAACAACCGATTATTTTCAACTACAAACTACTAGGCACGACTATCGAACGGGTGCACTGCGTGAAAGACTTAGGCGTTTTTCTAGACTCAAAGCTGACATACTCACACCATATATCGTATGTCGTCGACAAAGCGTCCAGAACGCTTGGTTTTGTCTTCAAGATTACTAAGAACTTCACGGACATTTACTGCTTGAAATCGTTCTATTGCTCTCTCGTACGATCTACGTTGGAATACTGCACTGCTGTCTGGAGCCCGAACTACCGGGGCCGAGCGAATTGAATCTGTTCAACGACGTTTTCTTCACTTCGCGCTCCGTAAGCTGCCTTGGAGATACCCACTTCGTCTTCCAAACTACGAGAATCGCTGCCAATTGATCAATATCGAACCCTTACGTATCCGAAGAGATGTTTTCAGAGCCTTAACCGTCGCCGATACTCTGCAAGGAAGAATCGACTGCGAAGCAATTCTGCAACAAGTGAACATTAATGTTCAACCTCGATCACTACGCAACAGTCTTATGCTGAGACTTCCACTTCTTCGAACTAATTATAGCATAGGGAGCGCTATTTACGGCTTGCAGCTAGTGTTCAACCGAGTAGCGTCGATGTTCGATTTCCACTTGACACGGCATATGCTTCGCCGAAGATTCTCTGCCTTTTTTTGCTGACCGAAGGCGCTTGATGCCCAACAGCTAAGTGTAAAATTTAAGACTTATAAATTTTTAGTAACTTGACAATGCTTTCCTAGTTATTTTCGTTTGTAACTGTAGTAACTGTAGTATATGTATGTCGTCTGTATAATCTGTACTTTTTTACAATACATCATAGGGACTATTTCTAGTCTGTTGATGCAACCATAACAAATAAACAAATAAACCACTTCCAGTTTCAATTTTGAACACCTCCAAACCGTGATATTCAGGGTGACCAGCGACCCTGGAAAACCGGGAAATATCCGGGAATTTGAAAAGTAACCGAGAAAACCGGGAAAAACCCGGGAATTCGATGGAAGAACCAGAAAAAATAAATTAACCATACCATAGGAACAAATTTTAACACCAGAATTTCAGAATTAACCATTAAAACAGAGTGATTCTTTGCCAAATAAATTTCTTGCTCTTTTTGCTGCATGATTTACTTCAGTTTCCCGTCTTATTGTTTTTAGAATTTAATCACTCAAATTACAATTTTTGTCGTTTCAATTTCAGATGTAAAGTGCATGGGCCTTTAAAGAAAATATTGAAGATGCTGGACTTAGGAAACAAATATTTGTAAAATCCGAAACTGAACTATTCTTTTCCTTGGTTTTAATTTTTCGTTATTCAAAATTCTCATGACATGAATTCCAGAATTAACTTGGAATTCTTCTCTGAGTTATCATGGAATTCTTCTGAAATTAACCAAAAAAAAAAACACTTCGCGTAATAATTACCGTTGAATTCTTTTTGGACTTTTTCTTGAAAACACTTCTAAGAACTTGATTGGAATCCTTCTTAGAATTCCCTAGAACGGAGACTTTTATGCATTTGAAATTCTTTTCAAAATTTTATTTTAACTCTATTCAAAACAGCATAAATCCGAGGGGGCGACACATCTAAATCTCAATCATAGATGCTCGAAAAATCTCACGCCAGCGAATAAATCTACGAAAAATCTTCTTGCCATTTTAAGCATCTAAATCCATCTACTCGCATCGACTTCCATCTTTTTGCAGGAAATCTTCAAAATCTTCATCAATCTTCTTAAAATCTACTCATCGTACGTGCAGCTAAGCACAGCAAAACAAAATCGTTTCTGCATCGAAGATAGAGTCGCCCCCCTCGCATAAATCTTTCGAAATTTTATTTAGAACCCCCACTAAATTACGAATAAAAGTAAATTAAACGAACTTCAATGTCTGACCTATGATTCTTATGTTAAATCGTGTGCTGAAAACAAAAATTTAGTCAGAAAAAATAATGAAGCTATATAAATTATTTGAACGCCAAATTAAAGGGGAGATTTTTTTTCCATCAGCTGAACATCATTTGCCAGAGATATTAGTGGCATTGTTGTTAATTAATGGTTTATTTAATTTTTTATGTTTTGCATATTTCCACGATAATTTGATTTCAGCAAAGTTTTTAAGAAAGGTAAATACAAATGTTTGTAGTGATTGTGCCAATAATACCACGAATCTCACTGAGAAATAGTATTCAGTTGATCGAAAGTAAATTTTCTCACTTTTAATTTGGCATTAAAGTAATTGATAATATAGCTTCATTACAGCCGGAGATATTTGTATTTTAGTAAACAATCTTTTATTAGAAGAAACTCCTTTTAGATATAGTTAATCTAGAAAACTATCCTACTTAGATTTTGTCTGACAATATTTTTGGATTCAGCACACAATTTTACATGGTAAATGACCATCAGCGTACAAAGTTCAAACATACAGGTAACTCTAAGACCAGAAGATCCCAAAGAAACGTGCTCAACTTTTTGGCTCAGCTCTGGTACTATCATCGGTCCCAAGCTAATCGATGCACCCCTCGAAACATACGAAAATCCACAAACCCCTAATTTTATCTGTCAAACTTTCATAGCGAATCAAAACAAACATAGTGTAGTAGTAGAATTTCAACTAGAATAGGGTACGTCAGGGGTACGTTAATCTATTTGCTTGGGACCGATAGGCTAGTCAAGTAGTGAGCCAATTTAAAATCGATAGTTTCGTATTGATTGTTGGTTCAAATGTGCTGTAAACTAGTGTTGTTAGTAATTTTTTGCAATACATTTTGTTGGAGCTCTGTGATGAATCTTTCGCACTAAGGTTAAAATAAGAGCTAGAACAATCTTAGAACTCTGTGTCTTGTTGAATTTTCATCATAATTATCTTGAAATTCTTCTTAAAATTCCTCTGTCATTTTCCTCACGATCCTCATACAAATCAGAATCACGTACACACCTGAGATGTTGGGATCTTAAACTCTCGTTGGAACCCACTTTCCATTAGAGGAGTGCGGTTGCCTTAACGTGTTTCTTTTGTTTTCGTAGCCCTATCCGTTCGATGTTTTTCATTGCTTGCGAATTCGATTCGTCACTCACGAAACTCACTTCTCAAACTAGTCAGAAAAAAGTTTGTGCCCTTGCTGCTCCTGGGTGGTTGGCGTAATTTTTCCGTGGCTTTCGAGGTCACTTCAGAACCTTGGACCTAGTCGTGTACGTAGTTTTGGTAATTACCATTGTGATCAAGAATACTGAGTACAGCGGATTACGGCATCGGTTGGAGGGTAAATTGCACCTTGAGCTGAAAAAGTGGCAATTTCTGGTCCCAAAGACCAAAGGGCCAAGTGGGGGTACTCAATAATATATTTTTGTTGGGCTGCTGTTGTGTTAGTGTGAGAGTGCGTATCCCAACTATAGGCTGTGAAGTGAAATGAATTCACGAAAATCTAGTACCTTTGCTGAGGTGTTGTGTTTTTGTACCATGAAGATTGTCGACGTCGTGTGAGGCAAGAAGTTGTGCGAAGAAGGAACGAAGAATGGAAGGGTAATCGCAACAAATAAAGTTTGGATGCGATTACGAAAGGTGCGCGAACTGCGAACGCAGTGTGTGAAGCAATTTGGGAAACCGTGTTTCGCAGATCTCTTTCTGGTGTGTGTGTGTGTGCGCGCGCTTGAGGGTTCCTGCCTGCAGACAGTCTGTGCAATAATATCGTTTTCGTAACAATCGCCGACGAAATTGATATAATCAAGTCAAGAAGAAGCGGCGAATGTGTTGGTTTTAAAAGTGCATTTTTGTTTTGCTATGTGGCTTTGTAAATAGGTACCGAATACCTCTTTTCAACAAATACCAGTAACCTTGCGAAGGTTTTCTTTCTTTTGCGGCCTTTGTAGGCACAGGAAAGTAGAAGAGCAAATGTTAGTCCCTCGGTTCCTTCTTCTAGTTCTGGTTCCTCCTGAGACGAAACAAAGAAACCCGCAAGTGGTTGCGAAGTAGAGACTATCTCGCTGTAGGCGGTGATTGGTGTTGAAGAAAAATCATTCTAAACGCGAAACGTTCGAGAAAGAAGTGCTAAGAGGAACGTAAAATTAAAAGTTGATAATGTGGCTTGAAGAAAATTAAAAACCTAAAAAGTGCGAAGGTTATTATTGGAAAAAAAGGTTTTTTTTTATTCCGCTGATGGTTTAGGCAGGTTGGCTGACGGATGGTTGAATAAATACATGGATGTTTCTATTTGGATACGTGCAGTGCTGCCAAAGGTGTTGAAACAATTTAAGATGGAAGATTTATTCGAATAATAGTTTAGTGTAGCAGTGTGATCAAGTGTCTCTAAAAGCGAATTCGTTTATTATCGGGGTTAACACCAGTTCCAACCCAGTGCGAAACCGAACTTTTTGTCAGTGTGAACCTCAAACTGAGCTAGGTTTTAAAAACAAACGAGCAAACTGACGTTTGTCAGAAAACAAACAGACCCAATCTTGACACCCGATCCAGGTTGGAACTTATTATTATTAATTAATTTGATAAGGCTCAACCGAATTAACTTTACAGAGCCGAGGATTCTTGTTCACTATACAATACATCTTAAAACTATAGTCAAAATGTCCAATAAGCTTACTCTTCTACCAGAACGGGAGCCGCTTCCAGTGGTTTACTTGTATGGCAGATTCGCCAACGAGGGTCAGAGGGCTTCCATTGTAGAAATGGACGGAAAACGTGGTCAGCACTCACACATTCATCACGAAACAGTTGCTTTGCACAGTCGACGACGCATCGACTGAAAGGACTGCTGATGAAGAACAATGAGGAGGACCACACAATGGTTGCTGCCGAGTAAACAGACGATCGCGTGACACACATTTAGAGTGGTCTGCTTCTATCGACAGCCGAGTGAACACTGAGTTTGGAACTGAATAATAACCGAATTCGCTATAAGAAAAGCTGTTTTGAGATTTATGTCTGCTTGCCTGTACTTTTGATCATGTGGTCTCAAATTGCATTAAAATTAAGTGTAACATGTTTTAAAAAATCAAAGAAAAATTTGGTGTTACAAAAAATGCTGTACCCATCCTGAACGAATTTAATATAAACGTTAAAGCGTCTAGCAATCAACGCTACACTTTAACGAAAATATGAAATATATATGTAAAGTTAACCAAAACAAAGGCATACTGAATAAGAACGAATCCATCCAACCAAATGAGAAGCGCTTTTTAGCCTATAGCTTTTGGTTTTGTAGCTGCTCAATGCGATGTACCTCGGATCATTGGCGACGTTGGATACCATCTGGTAACAAACTAGTTGTTGGATTGTTGACCTGGACTGCTAAAAATAAGCAGTTCAAGTTTACTCCAATAAATCATTCAGCGTCATACAAGCCCTGACATCCGAGGCCCCGACTCATTCCTGGGTACAGCAGACGATGAAGTTCGCACCACCAAACACGGTATTCTGCGGCAATTCGGAATACCAGGCAACTCTGAAGCTGACTTTCTGACTGGGGCACGACCATCTGTCCCTCGCTATACCAACGAAGTACCGTTACACGATGTCAAGCGCTGGATCGTGAGCTGAGTATGGAAAGCTTGGGACGCGGAGATAACGGATAAAAGGGACGACAAGGAAGTGGACAGAACCGTTGAACTAGCGGGATCAGAAGATAGAGTCGCGGTTGAGGACTGGTCACAGCAAGATCCCGCACAATTGAGTTGTAGAACCCTAGCCTCAATCGAGCACATTCTATGCGTTTGCCCTCAGTATCAGAACCTGCGGGAACTCCACGAGCTACCAAATAGCATACGCGACATGCTGGGTGATGATCCCTGCACACTGGCAGCAGTAATGGGCTCTTTAAAGGATGCTGCATTGAATTTTAAAGTTTAGTCTTTTTTAAATTCCTTTCGGCTGTTGGGACATCTCTGCCTGGTGGGGGCCTCCCGGTTCCCCCCGGTGTGGAGCTCTGTCTTATTCGTACTTTAATGTTTGTGTTATTAATATGTTGTGCCAATTTTCGGTTGAAGTAAACACTGTAAAAAACTCCTTCTGATGCCACACCATTCATGGACGAGATGAACTAGCTTACAGCTGAAAATTTCAAATATGAAGTTTGAAAAAAAATATCGTTTTCGTTAAGTTTCAGCATGTTTATTATTGCCCAGTCCTGTCCACATAGTTCCTTCAGGCTATGGATTCTACTACGAAGGAAGGCTCCAGGATACCGTATTTGAATGGAACAAACTTCGAGAATTGGCGGTACGTGAATGCGGCGAAAGTTTCGGAAGTATTAATGAAGACCAGGGAAAAATGAAGTTTTTGCAGACAGACCGTAAAACAGTTAGTTGGATTCATTTCTGATGAGTGTTGCCCCATAGTACGGGACAAGAAGACTGCTCTGACTGACTGAAGGCACTTGAAAACACTTACACAAAGAAGTCTGGCACTTGAAGAAACTTAGTCAGGAAGTCCGAAGAGAGTATCTCGATAAATACGACTCCCTTTTAATGGCTCTAAAGAACATCAACGGAAAACAACCTCTCCCGCCCTCTTGTCGATACGGGTGTATAGACAATAATCATGCTTTGAAAGATTGTCGTGTCAAGAAGACCTACGGTAACCTCAATGCAGTGGTTGGAAGCAAAGCAGTTCCGTTCATGGTGAACCAGGAGCAACTGTAAGAGCAGAACAAGCAGGTCGTTTTCGATGTGGACTCCGGATGTAGATTGCATGCAGTCGATACAGAAGCTCGAAGAACCTTTCGTTATTGATATGGCCAAGCATGTCGATTGTTCGAAAAGATGAAGGCGAGGCAAAAGGAGTTTTCAAAGGCGACATTCTGTTAGATTTTCGTACCAGAACTGAGAAGTAGTCTGCTTTCCGGCAAGAAAATGTTCCAAGCCGGAATTGACGTGCTGTTCACAAGGCTTGATGGGAAACATAAGTGCTATAGCAAATCTCTTCGCAGCGGAGGTCAGCAATTTCTGGCATTGTTTGGGACCCTATAGACGTCTCACTTTTAAAATGTCCATTGAATATGCATTCAAAAAAAAAAAAACATTTGATTTCCAGAGAGATCAACTCAAATCAATTCAGCGATGAGTAAATTTGCCTTTCAGGGAATTTCGGCGGAGTTTTCTCGCGTTCTCAGCGGTTGAGGTTCTGCACGATTTTGGTGGAGGTTTCCGATTCTGCCAGCGGTGGTTGAGTTTTCTCGCGGTCACGGTGGAAAACTTCCGCACGATTTCGGTGGAGATTTCCGATGCTGCCAACGGAGGTTCCACGGAATTTCAACGGGATTTTAACGCGTTCTCGCTGGAGCATGGTTTGCGCGATTTCGGTGAAGGTCTTCGATGTTGGCAGCTTCTGCACGATTTCGTTGAAGATTTGCGGTGCTACCGGGGAAATTTGCGGAGAGTTTCGACGAAGTTTTTACGTTTTCACGGTGGAGAGGATACCGTACGATTTCGGTGGAGATTTGTTATGTTCCGGGGAGTTTCGACGGAATTTTCGCTTGTTCACGGTGGAGACGGTTCCGGTTTCCGGTTTCGGTCCTGCCAACGGAGATTCCAGTAGGTTTCGACAGAGTTTCTAGCGTCCGGTGCTGCCAATGGTTCCAGGGAATTTGGACGGGTTTTTTCCGCGTTTTCGATGGAGGAGGTTTCGGGGCCTCATAGCCTAGTCAGTAAAGGCACGGTATTACCTATGGTATTACCAAGCCGGAGGCGCCGGGTTCGATTCCCGGTCCGGTCGAGGGAATCTTTCGGGTTGGAAATTTTCTCGACTTCCCTGGGCAGAGTATCATTGTGCTTGCCACACAATATACAAATTCATGCATTGGTATTGGCATCGAAAGCTCTCAATTAATAACTGTGGAAGTGCATTTAGAACACTAAGTTGAGAGCACGCAATAAGCTAATATGCGCTAAGTCATAAGCTTGAAATGCAAACAAGAAGAAGAAGAAGGTTTCGGTAGAGATTCCCGATGCTGTTTGTAACTTCTGTTGGCAGCATCGGAAACCTACACCGATCGCGCGGAAGCTCCTCACACGAGACAACTCTGTAGACATTTCCTGGAGCATCCGTTGGCGCTATCGGACATATCCACCGAAATCATGCAGAACCTTCATGAACGAAAACGCTGTCAACATTCCACATAACTTCCGTTGGCAGCATCGGAAATCTCCATCGAAATCGTGCGGATGATCCTCAACTGCGAACACCAGAAAACAGTTGAAATTTACTGGAACTTCCGTTGACAGCATCGTAAATCGTCCGAGAACGTGAATCCCTAAAATTTACGTTGGTAGTATCTAGAATCTCCACCGAAATTTTGCAGCACCTTCTTTACCCCGAGAAGGTGGAAAACTCCATTGAAATGCATTTGCACTATCGTAAGCAGCATGGAAAATCTTTACCTAAATGCCCCTATACTGGTGGAAGGTCTTGGACAAAAAGCTGATTATGAATCTGCGACACCTGTGTGCTTGGAAAGCAGTGTAGAAAAGAGTGGATACATTTGGACGTGTGTGATCCGCCAGCTTGAGAAGTATCGGAATATTTCGTGTCCTTTATGGATGACTACAGCCATTTTGCGTGCATCTATTTGATGAAGAAGGAAGTCTTCGTTCATTTTCAAAAATATGAAGCTATGGTTACCACCCAGTTTGAAAAACGGGTTTGCAAGCTAACTGCTAGGCGCAGTGAATGGGAGCGCAGACTTCCAGGTAAATTGCTCGATTTTTCCTGAGCTTAGAGCGACATCTACTGGTAAACCTTCATGACTCCCAGATCCGTCCTGTCAACATAGGTCCTTCAACAATTTTAGCAGAGAAATTCGGATACGCATTATTGCCGGAAGTCGTATTTGCTACGTACTCCAGAAGACTTTGAAGTCTGGTAAAATTCGCCTCCGTCCTAAGTCTGAAACCGGTAAATATATAAAAAACTGAGACCGGTAGTTCTCTCAGGACATATGAACGATACTCGAGGAGAACCTGCAAGCGTCCAAAACGGCGTCTGGAGGAGAAGAATCAACCACGCACTGGCGCAAATCTATGGAAAGCCCAGTGTCCAGAAAGTGGCCAGAACTGGAAGAGTACAATGGGTGCGAAATGTTGCAACAATGCTGGACAAGAATCTCGCAAAAATTGTGTCATTCCAATCATCAGGAATCAAGCATAGTTCATCTTCCACAGGAACATCTGCCAGCACTGTTCTGCGTCTCTCTCTCTCTCTCTCTCTATATGCAACTTCCATACACAAACCACGACCATCAGGTTGTGCTTATCGAGTTGCACTCAGGGATTCAGCTGAGCACCACAGTTTTCAATATTGAAATTGTTCAAAAAATATACTTAGTAGTCGTAAGCGATGCAGCCAATAGCATTATACATACAGTAGTACCATCGGACATGGTTGCGCTGGTGGTGGATTTCAATCACTGAGTGATGGTGATTCCAAAACAGCATCGTCGAAGCTAAGGTCGAGTGTGTGTGTGAGTGTGTGATTCGTTCGATTTCTGTCAGGTTTAGGTTTTAGGCCAGAAGAATCGAAATCGAAATATGTAGTGGCAGCATCAGAGGAACTAGTCCGTCAGTCAGCCAACATAGATCTAGAAAGCGCCAGCCCCAGTGGTGGGTGGTTTGGATTAGGGGCTCAGAAGTGATTTTAAATTCCAATACATATCTACTACATCTGTGTCGTAACCCGCTTTGTCAGGATTTCCTACTGCTGCCGTGGTTGTGGGTCTTGTGGGAGGATTGCGTCAACAACAACCAAGTGAAGAAATTACGCATTGACTAAAGGCGAAAATGGATTCTCAATAGTGGAACAAATCAAATATCAACATTACGTGTCCCGAGGAAAAAATGTCGACATTTGATGAGTGCTAGAGTGAGATAAAAGTGCCGTGAAAGCATACGGAGCAGTGCGAGGGGAAAGGTGGGTTCAAGGATACGTTGTGGGGAATACACAGGCAAGGGATCATCAACATCAGCTGCTCGTGCGCTGCCCTCTGGTGCCATATTCTCGACTTCATCGTGAGTGGTGAGGGTGGGTGCAAACAAATAAAACAGATACGGCGATTGGATCTCGCTGGTCGCAGGAGGTGCAGCGGTAAAGGGGGGAATGTTTTCCTTTCTCCTTTCTTTGCCATCGTAAATGTATCAGCACCTTTTGTTTACACGACTATTGCGTTCGACGAGAGCTAAAACCCCAGAACCCGAAGAGGCAGAAACTTCGACGGCCAGAAGAAAATCTCGCTTCAAGTTCCACGCTCTATTAGAGGCGGCGACGGTCATTGAAGAAGTCGTAGAGGGCAAAGCCAGCTGAAGCGTATATGCTGTACTATCATCGGTGTTTTTCTTTTCATTTAATTCGAACTGAGCGGAATAATCGTGGAAATTAGCAGCTCGGAAGGCGGAAGAACAAAGAAACGATATTTGTTACACGGTGAACGGCGGTTGTTGTTGCGGGAGGATTTAAGAAGATGGCTGATTTCGATGCAATCTACGAGGAACAGGAACTGGCCGAACCGGAAGACCTGGAGGAGGCCCACGTTCAGATGGTGCCGGATCCGATCGTCATACGAGGGGCAGGAAATATGACAGTGTGAGTATTACTATTAAGCTAAGGTTGCACTTGGGTAGTTTAAGGGGGTAAAAAATTACTCCGTAGATAACAAGCGGAAAAGGTTGCTTTATATTAATATTCCGACCAGTCTTGTAAGCGGTTACGGTAGTCGACACATTTTCTGTGATAATTGACTGCCTTTGCCTCCGACACTTGCAAAGCAAGCTATCATAGTACAGTACCAAACTAAAATGTCGTATGACAGGCTCTGTCATACGACACTGTCGCCGAAGACCGCCACGAATGTATGTATTTTAGTTTTTCTCATAATAAGAGCTGCTGATGGTGTGCTTGTGTGAATTCTGAAAATAGCAAGCAATGATGTCCTAGTAATAATATTTCTGATCAGAAATGGTTTGATTTACACCAAATTGAGGAATTACAACGAAATCACACATGTCATATGATAGCTATTTTGATAATTTTCTTTTAGCTCGAATGTTATTCTACCGCTCGTGTTGTGTGAGAGAGACGACGGTAGAGCATGAGTGTTCGAATACAAACAGACTGTCGCGCACGACAACGAAGCGAGTGTAGTAAAAAACGTCAACTGTTTCAACCCCTGATTCCGACGTTCGATAATGTAAGTTTATCGTCTACGGTTTTTTGTCAGTTAGATTCTTTTGAGAGTTTGGCGTACGACAAATATAACTGAAAATGGCTTACTTCAGGCGATTTTCAGATTGGTCCGACCATGTTTTATTAGGCCAAAGTTTTAATAGTTCTATATTGTTCTTTCATAAGGCCAATGTCGCAAACGTAAACAATGACTTTCTCCGCGAATTCCTCGGGAATGAAAACTCGCCCGAATAGAAGAAGAGTTCCCATATCAGATGTAATTGGTGGCCTACTTATGAGTGTTTAACGAATGTTTGGTTCATTTAATTATTTTCATGTACACGGTTAGAAAAAAGTACCCAAAATTAAGTTCTTTTCACTCATCTCGGCACTATAGTGCAGGAACCCAAAAGTAGGTAAAGCGGGTCAAAGTAATTTTCATTTACTTGTGTGCAGTTCTTATGGAATTTTCCACTGGCTTTTTAAACAAAAGTATGTTATTTGTACCCAACAGTAGGTAAATATGATTATACTCAACGTTGGGTTCCCACACTTTACTACCCCTGTTGGGTGGTTTTACTCCTCCGTTTTTGACAACATTAGAAGGAGAAAAGGAAACAAACTAGTCAAAAGTAGGTAAAAGTGAACTGGCCGTTGGGTACTTTTTTCTTACCGTGTAGGTATTGTGTGGGTGCAAAGAGCGCCCAATGCTTCTCTGTGCAGTGTGGTGAACATTCAGCACTATCGCAGGGACTCGTAGTAAGCCATGATGAGTGTTGTGAGGACAACGAACTGGACACTGCATTTTGCATCCTCTCAATCATCAACCACCGTGGAGGTAAGACGTTCGTCGATATCGGGCAGATACCTTTCCAGCTGATGGTCAGTTATCCACAATACCTTCTCTCACCATAGATTTGGTAAATGCAACAAACCCGAAGCCCGAGGGAATGACTATTAACTTGTTAGCACTCTTTATCTATAGGTATAGATCTATTTAGATATCAGGCACTCTAATCTTATTATCAGATATCTCAGGTTACCTCAGGTCTAGCGTGGCCTATGTCTATGTGCGGTATTAAAGGTGGGGAGGAGATGGTGCATTGGTATTTGTGCAATGACAACATTCAAAATAGTAGTCGTGTGTAGTGTGGCATCGTGTTGCTTAAACCAAGGTGGCTACATATAGGTGTTCTAATGTGTCAAATTCGTGATTCAGCCATGTTGGATTTTTGTATGGGACAGCGACCGAGTTTGTTTACAATTTGCTCTAAAACCGCATTTCCCCCCCCCCCCCGCGACCTCCTCGCCTATATAGTGACAAAGCTGTATCACCATTTATATACCCACCATTGCTTAAACGCTGTCCAGACCAAGGTGACTACATATAGGTGTTCTAATGTGTCAAATTCATGATTCAGCCACAAACGAAGTGACAGACGACTAACTGGCGAAGAAATCCATTTAAATAATGTGGTTCACTGTAATAGAATTTTCTTGGAAGCTTGTGCCATCATCCACCAGATGGGTTAGTTTTTTTTGTTTTGATTTGAACAAAGTTGATTTTGTGTACAATGATTCTTTGACAGTGTGCAAAGAGTGCGTATCATTTTGTCATTTTTTTATGCAGTGTCATAATTTGTGGTGTGTTTATAACTAATTTCGATGAATTTTATTCTCACAGCAAAATAAACTCAATCAATTCCTCCAACAAATAAGCGTAAATAATATTTAAACCGGCTTCCAGAGAAAGCTGTGTAGTGATTATTTGATGACCGGGAAAATGTTGAATAAGCGCCTTTCAAGTTCGCACACAACTAAACAGCAGGATAACAGCTGTTAAGCGTAAAAGGAAATGGAATAAAAGCTTGTTCCAACCGTCCCAACAGCTATAAGTAGTTGACAAAGTTTGACAGATAAAATGAGGGGTTATTGGTATTGGTTATTGGTATATTCCGGCTGATGGTCAGTTATCCACAGGTATTATCAAGGCTTTAAAAAAGATGCTTTGAAAAGGACTTCGATCGTTTCAACAAGCTTGTAATTACATTAATTACACCGATTGCGATTCTAATTGCATAAATTATGCGATTTGATTAAAGAACATGGTTAAGTAACAGTAATTACATCAATACTGTAAAATTGCATTACGTTAACTACTCAATATTTGTTTGTTATTACTTAATTGCTTTGTTCAAAACCTTGTACTTTAAATCCAACGCAGCCAAGAAGGCAACTGTGTGCCATTCGGGATTTGTTTGGGATCATTCCAGGAAGTACTTTCAGGATGCCCCTCAATAATCTTATGATTCTGTCCGGTATTCCCGAAAAATTATCTCCATAAACAGTCACGGTCTGTGCAGAACACTTCAGAAATTCCTTCAAGAAAACTCTTATCTCTTAATTTATCTTCGCATTCCTAATAATTCTTGTGAGTTTTGACGTAGGACTACGTCTGTGATTTCTATATGGGGGGACACTTTGAGAAAACCGAAAATGGAACATGAAACAAAATTGTGAAAGATTTTGAACGTTAATAACTCAGTTGCCCCTGGTCCAATTTCAATAATTTTATCACCAATCGATCAGAAATATAGCTATGCGAATGTTGATTTTCAACAATAAACTATTGAAAAAGTGGTAAATGTCCAGCATTGTTCAAAAGCGTCGAATTAACTAACAAATCCATCAATCACGTACAAGTATATGCTGTTTCCCCAACACAGTCATCAGAGAATCATTCCTAGACGAAACATGTCGATGTAGCATTACGACGAGGTTCGGTAGTTCAGTGGTTACTGTTTCTGCTTACTGAGCAGAAGGTAGGGAGTTCAATCCCTGGCCTGTCCCCTTCCTTGCAATTTTTCACTTTGCCCTATTCTATCCCCACTAGATTTAAATAAAAACAAATTCTGCTTTAACCGATCGCATCACTTACCACAGTGAATCCTGATCTAAAAATAACCTACCTCACTAACACAACTATCCTTCCCGAGACAGTCGTGGAGATGTAGAGGTATTCTCGGTCTCTAGTAACAACCGGACGTAGAACTAATCATCCTTCTCTCCTCAAAAGACCGTGAGGACGTGGCCGGCGCTGTGAATTGATCTATAGATTGAATTGATGTGCTTGTACATTGAAAATGGAAAGCTTATCCCATGCACCATCTATGTAGTTCTCTGTGTAAGCGTATAAGTTCTGATCATTCACGGAGGAGCAACTACGAAGTGCACGGTCAGATAACGTTAACTCGACGGCAAACACATTCATTGATACTTTTGTTGTTGTGGATGATAGAAGAGCATAGCAGAAATAGTGCGAAATAGGAAGCCATCGTCATCACAAAAGAGGAAATCGATAAAGAGAATTGGCTTTCACCCTTCTGCTTCTAAGCCTCTTATAGTCATCGTAATAGCATCGCACCGCTTTTGGTTCTAGGGCACTTGCTGGTTGCAATTTTTAGATCAGGATTCACTGTGATGCGATGGGGGAGAGGTAGCTCATCGATTCTTCCGGTTCGCCTCCTAGCATCGTGCTATAAGGTACCAGGCGATAACCAGGGTAGTTGATCGATAGCTCGATGACGTCATTTCGTTGACGTCTGCAATGGGAAATTCTCATAGCAGGCGTTGACGATGGGACGTTGTCGAGTTGTTGAATAGCAACTATCGTGGTAACTCACGATTACCTGTCGATCTGCCAAATTTGGAAAGACGTCTGCATTGAATTGTCTCATATAATAATATTCCGCCCACTATATCACAAGAAATTGCGAGTAGCTGAGTGGAATGGAGATAAGTTAAGTATTGGGTACAGGACCAAGTCTCCTCAGGGTGGTGCCAAAAGATGAGCGCAATAGAATCATCAAGTTGCCATAAGGCACGGAATGAGACTATTGCATGGCTGGGTAGTCAAAGTCTTCCATTCGTTAGTCATTTCAGGTGGATTAGAACAGGTTTAGGTGGGCGTTGGCCAGATTTGGATTTTTCAGATGTAATCCTGGATAGGACCCTGTCATTGAACGTCACGTGAAAGTGGAACTTAAGGTCTAAGTACTTTTTCGTAGTTTTTAGTTTTCAGATTTGAAAGATCGTCGGTTACAGTGGCCTGTTTACTGAGCAGAAAAACGCGGTCCCAGGTCCTTACATATCAAAGAGATTTATGGTAAAATCGCTTGTGTATCGTGTATTTTGCGAAACTTGTTGTTGTAGTTGGTTCCGGGTTTGAATGGATACACAAATTTGAGCAACGGTATAATGTGATATGAGGGGCTCGGTGGCCTTAGAGCAACCGTTTTTGCTTACTGAGCAGAACATCATGAGTCTAATCTCAGGCCCATCCACATTCAAGATTCGTCAATCGTTTTATTTGTTAATATGACTACATGGTAATAACAGCAACTCGGTGATTAAAAAGGTGC